AATCGCTCATTACCAACCGGGCCAGTTGGGCCCAGTCGCCTCCTCTCATGTGCTGTTGTTCTTGTGTTCTGATTAAGACAGGTTTGAGATCCCTGGTTCTTGTCAGGAGGTGTGCAGTGGGCTCTCTGCAGCTGCCTGCCAGTAGAGAGTCAGTCACTAAAGCAGAAATGGAAAGCAACAGGCCTAAGGGCTCAGAGGTAGTGTCCTAGGAACAGAAAATTTGGTCTATTTTCAACCTCCTAATGTTTTCAAATCGCAGTTAGCATGAGATATTGTAATCCATATCTCCCACACAGACACGATAGATATACAGTATAAGCACAGTGGACGGGCTTTCATATGGATGCTGTTGTCCCCTTGAGCAAGACTGTGAAGAGTGACTGACATTTGTGCCTGTTCATACTGCTAGATATTTCACTCTAGGAATTTGAGTGAAGAGTCTTGCTCACCTGGGATTTGAAAGCACATCCATGTGTGTATTGCTTCACACTGGTAGCCACCATCGCCCCACCCTCCCGGACAGTGTGTCTGGGCTGTGCTCAAGCCCGTCGTGTCAAATGCGTCCTGGTATTTGGAGTTTTCTTTAAACTTCTCAAGCTTAGCCAAATTTACAAGACAAGACGAAGAGCGGAGATATTAGTTTCTGAGATTTGACAAAGGTGACACTGATGAACATTTTGTCACAAGGGTTAAATATTAAGAAACAGCAAAGGCATCAACACTTTAGTGGTTTTTGGTAAAAAAAAATGTAGCTTCTTATTACAATGAAAATGTATTTTCCTGAACCTGGACACCAGGAGCGAATCAGATCATTTTAAACCGGTAAAGATATTGCTGCAGCAGGACCTGTAGGTAAGGGTTTAGGTTTGCTGCCACTGCTGTTGCTGGGGAGCCATGTGTCTGAGGGCTTTAAATGTTCAGGAAAGCTCTCTCACACTGATGCTGCAGATCTGTCGAAATACGACGAGAGGGATTTCGTCAAGCCTAGAATTTCCTGTTTTGTTAACGTAGACAGTGCGAAGGCAAAGATTGTGACGACCAACTAGGCTGTGGACACACTGCAACTGGTTCAAAGGGGTGTGAAATGCGGGATTACTGTATATGAGCCTTGTTTTCTAATATCATGGATATAGCTATGACTCTGACATGCAATGCCTAGTCTCTTCTAGATTTTGTCTTACTGTTCTCAGTTAATTATACAATTAACCAATCAATCGACTGCGTCATTGTAATTCCTTTTTTTATAGATAACTGTAGTTTTAATGAAGAGAAAGATTCCTTTCTAAACTGTACAAGATCTTAAGAATCATTCTGTATATGTGCAAGTGAGAATATAATTACATTAATAGCTAAACTGACAACTGAGTTTGACGCCCCTCTGTGAAGCCATGTGTCGGGACAGGGAACATCTTCACTCGACAGCATAACATCACCATCTGGAGCAAAAAGCAAGGGCTTGATTTATATGTGACAAATACATTTAATCACCAAATAATTAAATTATCCAGCCTGGGGATTATGACAGATTACTGAAAACAGTTTCTAAATCCAGGTTCCTAAAACGAAGGTGGGATTCGCACTCCTATGATGGGAACAGCCCAACTAATCTGCACAACAAAATATTTTATTCATAAAAATCTATATATACAAAACAACCATACAATAAAAAAGTATATTATGGGATCATCCAACCTTATGATAACAGAATGTGGAGCCAACAATGCTACATGACATATTCACCCAGTGTGATTCAAGCAGTAATTAAGTAAATCCACTAGAAAACAATTTGTTTAGAAAAACATTACAAATATGAGAGGGATCCTTTCATCCT